TGGAGCCCGGCGTGGGAGCCGCGGACGGGCAGCGGCGGCGGGGGAGGAAGCGAGGCCGCGTGCCACCCGATCATGCGGGGTCTCCGACTCCCCTTAAGGAGTTCGGACTCTGGAAGCCACCGTCTCGACCTTGTTTCTGCAGCTGCTTTAAGACCAGTAAGGTTCACATTAAGGACATGCTCCCTTGGGCGGGAGATAAGGGACGCTTCAGGTGACGCACGGTTCCCATTCCTCTAGCCACAAAGCCACCCTTTTCTAACCAAGAGGACATTTTGGTAGCCAAGTGTGGTAACAGAAAAGTAACCCTGAGACCAATCTAGCTTACTTTTTAATGTAAATATTTGACAAACTTCAATTAATAATATGGGTTGCTTAAGATGTGTCTCAAAACCTACCTTTACACAAGACATATATCAGGAAGCCTGCTGGAAGCCGCAAGGAGCTAGAGGCTTTAATCAGGGAGGTAAGACCGCCAGATGTTGTTCCTTCAGAATCTCTTGCAGATTAATCATTCAAACAGCATTGCCAAACTGAAGTGACACGATTTGTGTGTATTAAACAATTTGGGAAGGAATCGCTCCATTCTGTATATAAGACTTTAGTTTCCTGCTGTACTTTTTTTTTCTAAAATCAATAAACAGTGCTCAGTACCTAATACTCGTTGGGTGCCATAGGATCAGACCAACAAGTATGTGAAATGGTCCCTAGTCTTGAGCACATGAGGGGTTTGGGGAGACAGACTAACATGCCTTAAATATCACAGAACCAGTGAGAGTAAGGTTTATAACATGTGTATGAAGAAGGCAGCAAGGAGACAATGTGAGAGCTGAGCCTGGAAGGAGGGTAGGATCTGAGACAAGATTAGAAGACGAAGGACTAAAAGGCGGAAGGAACAAAGCTGAAAAGAGATGACAGTCAGGATTCAGGTGGTGTGAGGGTGCACCTAGGGACCTGACTTGAGAGCAGTGACAGACTGCCCGCCAGACTGTGGAGGCAGCTGGGCAGGCCAACCAGAGCCCCCGCTGGCCTGCCACTGGATGGCACCTGGCTCCACCCCACAGAGCTTCCAGTGAGTACTTCTGCTCCCTCCTAAATAGACACAGATGACCAAGGATCAACAGACATTTGAGGAAGACGGGGGAAAAAACAAACAAACTAAGAAGAGGAAAAAATGTTATTAAAACTTTATTATCTGCAGTCTCTGAAGATCATATTATATCAGTGAAAAAAGAAGAAACAGGTATATAAAAGAACATTCAGAAATAAGAACTCTTGAAAATTGAAAAAACAATAACTTAAATTTAAAGATTGATAAAAAGAAGATAAATTTGATTATATCTCTCAGACAATAGAACAAAAAGAAAAAGAAATGGAGAAAGAGGAAACATAAGAAAATTAGAAGATTAAGAAGTTGAACATCTGAAAAATAAGAGTTACAGGGAAGAGAACAGAGAAAATGAAGAGGAAATTACTCAAGCAGTAATTCAAGAAAAGTTCCTAGATCTAAAAGATGTGTTCTCACATAGAAAGGGCCCACCAAATGCCCTGCACAGCAAACCTGTGAAGAGCCACATGAAGGCACATCGTCACAAAGTGTCAGGATACCAGGGATAGAGAAAGGATCTTAAAGAGTTTCCATAGAGAAAAAGGTCACATTTAAGAACTGGAAATCAGAATGGCCTGGAAATTCTCAGTATAATTCCAGGAAAATGAATTCAGTGGAGCAATAAATTTCAGAATTCTGAAGAAAATAATTCTAACATGAAATCAAAATATTAGTTTTAAATGTGAGTGTAGAGTAAAAATATTTTTCAGATAACACAACTCAAAAATATTAACTGCCAAATACTTATCTCAGAAGTCTGCTGGAGGATATTCTTCTCCAAAACTAAGAAGTCAAGTAAAAGGAATATTTAGGACCCAGACAGCAGGGAGTCCAAGAGAAGAGAGAGGTGAGAAGTCCCAGGATGAAAGCAGGAGACCAACTAGCTTGGGGCGGAGGCCTTCTGGAGATGCATCTCCAGGGAAAAGTGAGTCCATGGAATGCCTGATGTGTTTGAGTATTTTAAAAGGAGATCTTCAATGTCTTTGGTGACAGTATGTAATAGGTATGTAGTAAATAAGCAATAAATTAGTAAAGACAAAACTGTACATAAAATACAATTGTAGCATATGCCTCAGCTGTGAATAATGATTCCATAATTTTAATAAAGTAAATACTGGACAGTAATTTAATCAAAAGATGCTATCACTATTTTTGAAAAATGAGAGATGATCTTGTATGGGTTCATAAACATGCATGTGTCTGGGTCTGGGAAATCAGGTGGAAGTGTTACATCATCTTCTAGAGTTAGGAAGGCCATGGACAATATACACAACTGGAAAAGAAAGAGCATTAGAAACTCTTAAAAAAAATAGAGCGAATTTCAAAAAAAGTAGCTAAGAGTTAAACATAGAGGAAGGAATTGGGAGTTTGAAAGCATGGTGTGGGCAATTGCTATTTTTTAAAATAAATCTAGCAATACTATTTGACTTTTTAAATCTGTAAGTATATTACTTTGATAAAAGTAAAATTTTTCATTTTAAGTTTTAAAATGATTAAGTAACTAGTACAAGTGCTAGTAAATGGCACAACTGTTACTCAAACTCAAGTCTGTCTAAATTCTAAAGGCTCCTTAAAATTTTTTTTACTACTGCAGTACATGACAGTGAAGGAAAGGAAAAGCCAAAGATTACTTCCAGGTCTCTTTCCTGGGAGACTAAAAACAAAGTTGGACATAGAAATCAGTGTAAAAGGAACAAAGAAGTTTACGTGTGACCATTCACATCTTCCCCACCTCCTGCTGCACGCCACCTAGAGAGACCTTCTTGTGGCTTATTGTACACATCAGATTCATCAGTTTGGGGCAGAATCCAAAACCAGGGGAGGAAGGACTTATATAGAAGAGCAAACCAGGAAAGAAAAGAAAGGAAGGGGAAAAAAACCTGTAAGTTGAAAGTAGGGAGAAGTTGGGAATTAAGGGAGATGAAAGTGTTTCCCAAAAATTGGGAAAGGAAAAAACCCACAACCATTAAAACATACTGAGTTCTACATGGTTAATCCACATTAAATATTACAGAATTGTTTTATTGCTGAAGAGTGTCACGTAGAGAAATTGCCCCTCTTCCTCTACTAGTCGTCCTGTCTGTGGCTTCTTGGGCCCTCCAGGCTTCATGCAGTCACTAGAGAGAGGTAACCCATGTTCAAGGCCAGCAAGGCAGGAATGCTGGGGCAGAAGGATGGAGGGCACCTTGTGCCTTGAAACCGTAGAGCCAAAATTAACAGTAAGACCACTCTGTCTCCTCATTCCCTAAGATGTCTTTTCCTTACAGTTAAGAGTACTGAATTAGGGCTTTCTATTACTTGCAGCCAAAATTATCCTGTTTCAGCTTCTGCCCATGAAAGAGTAATTCCTCCAGAACTTGTCATTCCATTCGAAACCACTAGAAACTAGATAAATTATATGAAATTAGTATTTTCTGATGTTAGACAACAGGAAGTGGAGGATGGAGATTCTTGAAAGACGACTATTCTTTGATAAGATCAATTAAACTGATAACCCTATAGCTGTGTTGAGCATGATAAAAAGATTGGAGACAGAGATTATGCATGCTGAGGATGGAAGACCGTATCACAGATTTTACTTACACTGAAGGAGTTAAAAGGAAGCTACGTGAACAACTTTAGGTGAGATGATATATCTGAATTTTTCTTATTTTGTGGTTCGCTTTATTCCTTTGATAACTATGTAAGTTTAAAAAGCTAAAGCTCTGAATGTTCTTAGAAACAATGAATAATGCATATATGTAAATTTTAAAAATATGTGCAGTATACTGTGTACATGCATTTACATGCAATATATTGTATATGTGCAGTCTAACTAACAATTCTACCTAATAAAACTGAAAAATGAAAAAAAAATTTAGGTGAGACGACGAAATTCCTTGAACCATACAAATTACCAAAACTGATCAAAGAAGAAACAGAAAATCTGAGTAACCCTGTGTTTCCTAAACCCTGTATTTGTTAAGTTGAATTTGTAAGTAAAAACCTCCAACAAAAAAAACTCCAGGTGCGAGTGCTCTCACTGATGAATTCTGTTCAAACACTGAAGAAAGACGTATTAGTCCTACACAAACTCTTTCTGAAAATAAAAGGCCAAGGAACGCTTCTCTGCTTGTACAGCTCACCTAGTGGCAGGAGGCAGTCTGATGTCACTTGGGACCTCTAGCCCCTTGAGCAGCGGGTGGATGGATGAATAAAAGGTAAATGAACTGGCCTTCACGTTGCCACGTGCTTTGGATCTGACCCTGGCCCCAGCTGTGAACTGTGACTGAGATTCGCCGGCCGTGGTTTCCCTACTTGCCTTGAGTGTGGTCGGGTGGGTAGTGGCCCAGCACTTATTTCTGGCCCCTGAGAAGTGCAGGCTGTGGACCATTCCTAACATCCTCAGGCTGGGCCCTTGACCTGAAAACAGCCGTGTTTCTTGCTTCAGTTAACCTACTAGTGTTAATGGGAACAGTTCCAACCACCACAAAAATCATAGCTTATGATTGTTCCTTAAGTGTCCAAACTCTTAACCAGGCCCCTACCTCCTTAGCAACACTCCACCCCCCACCCTGTATCCATTTTGAGAGCACTTTACAGTCATTAGTTATTAGTGATGATGACTGATAAACAGCCCCGCACCTCCTACCCCATTTTCCTAACACAGAAACCCACTTTGAAAGCAGATTTTGATGGTGAGCCAGTGCTGTCCCCATTCTGTGTTTCCTGGGAGGTGGTGGAGGGGAGGGAGTAAGAATTCAAATGGCAAAAAGGGAGGAAACTCTTGAAAAGCTGGAAAGTATGTCCTACATTTTGAGATTAGGAAACATGTTGATGTGAAGGTGAAAAACCACTTGCCCAAATTTGTCCCCCTTTTTTTCTCCAATACTTGGGCTGTTTATTGGGGTCCCTTTCCCTCCAGCCCATTTATTGGAGAAGGGCTTTGCAAAGCCGTCTCCTAGCAGCCGAATGCAGAAGGCCCTTTCATAGTACAATGGACGGGAAGGAAAGAAAGAGCTTGGTTTGTTTAAACTGCCTCTGTCTTCATTCACAGCCTGATGTCCGTCTGCATTGTGACACCCACAATGGCACTAAGGGATTCATTGTGGCCGAAAACAAACCAAAACAGAATACGAGATGCTAAGATAAAAGAGTCATGCAACAAAATTGCTAAAAAAATCTCAGTCTTACATCTGAGATTTATGTTACCTTTTGGCTGTGTGGCCTATTGACCAGTGTCTGTAATAACCACCAGAGTTTAACAAACAAAAAGATAAATGGGAACTTGTACATTTTTAAGGCGTTTCCACAGAGAGGACGGGTATGTAGGGCTGCTTTGGAAGCTGTTTAATAATCATCGTTCTTTGTTTGCACAACATTCGGGAGCCACCCTCGCACGTTGTGTTTATTTTCCTTCTGATACACATGCCCTCGCGGTGCCCATGTGGCCCAGAAGCGTCCCTGCATGGTCGCTCCCGCCCCCGCCCCCCACCTCCACCCCCTGCCCCGACCAACATCAGATGTTGCAGGAACCCACGCCCAGTTCAGCAGGCAACAGGTGGAAGGTTGAATAGCTTCACACGTTTTTCGGGATGGGGGTGGGGAGAAGGAGGGAAAAAAGGAGGGCGGGAAGGCAGGCTTTTGGGAGCCGATTTAAGGATTAGATCAGATGTTATTGCTAGTGAAAAATTAAACAGCCCGGTGCTCTGGGGAGTGCAGATTAATATATTTAGTGACTGTGCGCACAAAGGCCGCTCATTGTAGCCACGTCTGAATGCCTGTGAATAGGATGGAACATATGCAGCCTGTCACCGCAGGTGCCCACATCTGTTCCTCTGCGGGCAGATGCTCGCAGAAAGGAGGTGGGAGGCAGGGGAGGACGGCGCAGTCGCGCAGGGCTGCTCGGGTCCGGCGGGGACACGCGGGCGGGGCGGGGCGGCGTCCAGGCGGTTCCGGCCCGGCCCGCGCCCCGCCCCGCGGACAGGTTGATTGACGGGCGCCCGGACCGGCGACAGGTGCCCGCGACCGCCGGGTGGGGCGCGTCCCAGAGCGAGGCCTCGGGAGGGCC